CGCGCTGTTGTTAACTCGGCTATAATCGCGTAAGCGGTGTCTACGCCAATAAAGAAGAAGAAGTTTTTCTGATAAATTGAGATGAAAAGGCAAAATACAGAAGTGTGGAAATTAAACCCAACCCAATCGTCGTTACGCCTCCTTTTGCCCCTCCTGTACTTGAAAGACGCATAACTTTATGAAAAAATATTTGGTTTACTCTTGAAATATGAATAAACTAATGATGGTTAAAATATCACTTACCCCTTAAGTAGTTTTGAGAAATGAAATTTCAGCAAGTTAACTGTTTTACTGATATAATCACTCAATTAAATACAGGTACTTTATGTAAGGATAGGTTGACGGTCGGACAAATACCCGGAAATCATTTTTTTTTTTTAATTTTATATGTATATAACCTTAAATCTACCCTCGATTATGTTTAAATGCTTAAAACCAACGTCAGGTGAACAAAACTATTATGCACTGAGCACATCTTGTGAATATATAAAAATCTTGAAGTCGTTCGAAGGAGATCATCGCACTCGTTTTCCATCTTTAGTAAAAGAACTGTCAAATGTTTAACAAAGAGAGGTAACTTTTGAAGGCTGGAAAATGTAGGATCTAGCGATTCGCAAGAAGTTTATCCGCTGCGAACGCTACATCAATAACTTTAGTGGAAGTTTCTTCCCCATACATCAATTTCTGCGGATTTAACCCCCTTTCCTCAGTTAAAAAATGAACCTAGGAATGAAATTTCATTTACATAATATTTTCAAATATAAGTTCCAATAATATAAATATAAAAGCTATAGAGAGTGCTCCAATTAACTCAAGCGGTTGTATAACTAAGAACTTGAAGTAGAGGGTTTTTTTATACTCGTATTACAAGCACGTGCAAGTAATTCACCAACGGACCACCCAGCACAACATATTGTAGTAGACGAGAAAAATGTAACGTCTTGCTAACAATTTCGGTTCATAGTTCCAATAAGGGTAAACAAATATTAATAATAGCACTATCTTAAGTTTTCAACTTACAACTTTTCATATGCTACCCGTAATAATAAATTTAAGAGATGTGCACTTTAAGTTTTTCAGATTTTCTTTTTCCGTGTCTTAGATATATAGCTACAGGTGAGTTAGTAAAAATAGCAATGCAACAGCTGACATTGACTTGGAACTCACAATTGAACTGAAATTTTATATAAAAAAAAACTTGATTTCGCTTCAAATACTGGCAGTGAGTACACTATAAAAACTCTAACTAACATATATGTATATAAAAAATTAGGATTGTGGCAAAATCATAAATCATGAGGATGTTTAGCTCATCGAATGCTAAGTCGAGAAGTAAAAGTGGTATAAAAAGAATAATAGTATAATCAAATGAATCTGTTTCTTTTAAATCAAGTGATGAGAAACTGGTCGAAAACAAGAAAACGTTAACTTTCATTGTACCGAAGCCATAATACCGTTCACAATTACAAAAGATTCCTTAAAGAACTCGATTTTGACCAATCAGTTTATATGGCAGCTATATGCTATAGTAATCTGATCTGAACAATTTCTTCGAAAAATCGAAAACCAATACTCCAGAATCACCATAAAAGCTGCCACCAAGACTGAAAAGAGCGCGACAAGTTATGTCGAATGCGAGGATTTTGTTTACAAGTTTATTCATTTGCAGGGGAGTCGTCCATCATGAGTTCTTGCCAAAGAATTGTCAGGTAAATAAAGAATATTTCCAGAAATCTTTACGCAATTTCCGCGAATCAATCAGAAATTCCCGAATTTGTGAAAGAACAAAAATTGCTTTTATCACCATGATAACGCCATTGCTCATACAACGTTGCTTGTGCACGAATATTTGGCCAGAATAACACAATAATGAGACACACATTCTTAGCAAAGGCAAAATTGGCAATATTTTTTTGAACAAACCTCATATGGTCCTACCATCATCAGATACTATTTATCAGTAGAATAGCGTTCGTTGATTGACCTAGTGGAAATTGGGATTTGGACTTCATTCTCAACCAGCAATTGACTGCCCTCACAAGGTGGGGGAATGAGTGGTGCGCGAGTTAAATTGCGAAGTTTCTGGGCTCCTGCCTGCAGGGGCAATAACGCTCTAGAATCTCCTGCCAACAAGAGGCCGATAGGTGCAAATATCGCGTACGTACAATACGGAATTGCGGAAATCAGAGGTTTCACGCGGTGTCCGCAACACCGTTCCCTAGCTAAAAGGCAACGTCTCACAGCATAATAGCGTGAAGGGTCAAGCAAATGACGTTTCAAGAGTCACTGAACTCAAAGAGACAAAAAAAGAATTTGCCACAAGTATAGCAAAATTATAACGCTTACTATTTCTAGAACTGATTCCCAGTGACTTTTTCTTGTTTTCAAAGCTGAAGAAAAACTGAAAAGAAATCGCTGAAACTGAGGCCTATTTTGAAGCACCAATTCTGCAAATATGGTAAAGAACAAATGGCGTATCCTTTAGGATTTTACCTTTTTCTGTTATGTTCATGCTCTTTTCTTTAAAAAGATATGAACTTTTAAACTTTCTGAGCAAAATTGTGAACGCCTAAAACATATAACTGCCATATACTTATCGATCCTGATATGGAAACTTTTTTATTTCACAAAATATCTTTACGAAAATTGGCATGGTTTATTTCCGATTGATGTAATCCACAAAGAACTCATTCATTTAATGAGATTTCACTTGACCGAATATGGCGTGAGTTATTCTCCAAGGCAAAGTATATAGCTGCCATACAAGCTGACCATCAAAATCAAGTTCTTGTAAGGAATATTTTGTATGTGTAAAGGGTATATAGCTTCGAGGCCACTGACCTTAACGTTTTTTCTTGTTTTTCTTTTTAATTTTTGCCCCACCTTATTATTTTTTTTAAAGACTTGGATAAAAAATATTATAACACGAATTCTTTCTAAAAAACAAATTATTTTTTTATAACATTCAAACATTTTTCTAAGAAAACTAAAATTTCTCACTTGACAAGTCACAGTTAATCAAGCTTCATACACCACTATTTATGTGCGCACCGCTGTAACTACAGCCTTACTATTTAATGGAATTACTTTTTGTTTTTCGTTTGTTTCTTTTCTACCCATTTGATGGACAGGTGGTCTAATTCATGCGATTTAGTTGCTCAAACTGAATGACTTACCCTCGAGCGCACGATTCCTTGAGATCAAAGCGAGCACCATTTCAGGATTTGGTTCATCGTCAAGATGGACACCGGCAACAGTCAGGTTATTGTTATCTTGCCGCTGCTGTTGACTTGTGGAACTGTGATTATGCTGTAGAATACTCCTACTACCAATAGCTTTACCTATGCTGCTATTCATTATTGTGGGAGCCTGTGGCGTCAGTGTAGGTGGCAACGGCGGCAATATAGGCAGCGTTGGCAGCGTAGGCAAAGGAGGTACTAGGTGACTGGGCTGCGGTTGTTGCATCATCGTTTGTGGATTTTGATGATTATGCAGCAGAGGATGTGGTTGTTGGTTTTGTTGCTGTTGCTGCTGATGGATATGATTATTCATAATAGAAATGTTGCTGCTGCTAAACAATGACGAGGCCAATGACGAATGAGGCTGCGGCTGTGGCTGCGGCGTCGGCTGGTGTTGATGATGGTGTTGTAATAGTGGTGGTGGCGGTTTCAAAGTTTGCATCATTGCTAATGCAACACGTTTACTATTGTAATGCTAATATAATGCAGACTGCTCCACACAAACATCAACAAATTTTGTAATTATCTATTGACATACACGGGCGCACACATATACGCGCACGACGCACGGAAATGAGCATCAGCAATGAAATCTACACTTGAGTGTGCGGGTATGTGGGTAGGCAGGTATTCACTTTACAGCCTTTGCGGCTGACTTGGCACTGGCTTTAATGGCGTTCAAAGGATGCGCACACATACAGAATACCGAATATGTACATAAGTGTATGCCGACGGTATTTTTGTACTCGTATATGTGCACGAATTGCCGACGGTATTTGGAGGAGTGTGCGATTAATTAATTTTTATTTACTTATTTTTATTTACTTTTTTGTTTTATATTTTTGAACGTTTGTTTTTTTTTTTTGGTTTTAATTTAATTTCTTTATATTCTTTTTGGTAATAAATAAATTTAAAAATTTTTCCCAGTTTTTTGCACGTGTCTTCGAGTTACTATTATTTGACTTTAGAAATTTTACTTACTTTGAGTACCATACCACAAATTATTTATACTAACGAATAAAATAAAATATATTTGTCGTATTTACATAGAATTATATTCAGCGATTTAAAGCAAAATAATTCATCTCATTAAAAGCTGCATGTTAATGCTTTGCACATATGTACGTACATATATAACTTAACTTTCATGTAAGCATATATGTATATTTCTTTTTTATATATGTATTTACACAATTTGCCTCCGAGCCGTTTAATAGCACAACCGCACCGCTTTTACGGTAAAACCACAATGTTTACCGCCTTTCTGTCGACCCAAGTCCAGATGCGCTATCGAGGAGGTGGTGGCAGTAAGATTGTTTCATATTCAAAAGATATTAATGCATATACGTTTCTATGTTTGTAAATACATATATGAAGATATGACGATTTAAAGTAGTCGCTTCTTATCACCTTGAATTGGAATTGGTATTCATGATATTGCTATTGGGTACTTACAAATATACACACCAACATGAATCACATATAAGCAAACACATTTGTACATACATACAAGCGCGTTTACCTTGCAATTCTAAAACACCTTCTCCACTTCTTTCGAGTGCTACTATCTAAATATCTGTTTTGCTCCTCTTTGGGTTTGTTTGTTCTCTATATCAGTTGCCGCTCGAGTTGTTTAGAAGACCCTATCAGCTGCTTACGTCTGTGCAACAACGCGGCCTCTCAATAAATACCTTTTATTACCTACTCACATACACACTCATACATATGTATATACCGACTTACGTACATTTTACCATTCTTATGCAAGTGCCGCTTCTACGTATATATTTACTATTTATAAATATGATGACTACGCGTATCGAAATTAGAAGGTTGTTTTTTATGAAAAAAGAGCTTTCATGCGCGTGTATGTTGGTTAGCAGCAAGCTATTGATATTCGAAGATAGTGCGTAAAAGTATAAAAAAAAACGAATTGGAGTATTGTTTTAGAATATTGATAAACAGTTTTACGAGTTCAAAGTTGGAAAACATGCACGTTGCGTAAAGGAACTACGAAATTTTGAAACACCAAGTACGGAAGAGCTTAGTTCGTTCATTTGATACTCTTGCAACTGGCCGATATTTGCGGTATAAACTCACAGGGAAGTTCAAAAATCCTTCTTTTAATTATATATCTCAAACAATAGCCGATAATTTCGGTTAAAAAGTCAACTATAGGTACTGGGGTATAAATATTCGACTCCTCAGGGCTTGAAAAGTTTTGGTTCGACTTAGACATTCTTTGGTAATTAGTATATTCAAAGGCACTACTGGTGCAAAGTCTTACTTTGTTATATTAATTGCTTCTTAGATTGTATACTGGAAAATGAAAGAATCAAATGGAATTCAAAATTGTGTTATATAGGAAGATGGCGTGGTTTAAGTCCGATTTATGCAATTTCCTGTAAAGCCTCATACCATCCCGTGGATAAAATTTAAGTCCCTCCGTTATATGGGGAGTGAGCGGCGTTATCAGCCTGTCATCCATTTTTACAATGCCGGTAGGAGTGCTTTAGAAGGCAGGGTCACGACCATACCTTCAAAATTTGAAGGCCATAAGCGCTCCTTGTACCTGCGATCCCCTGTGTCAAGTAACAGTTCTATGGTATATCTTAATTTATCGCTTAGTTATGACATTTTATATATTTTCGTTTATTGGCGTTTTGTGGACTTGGCAGTGGTCCAATAACGTTCATCTACAAACTTCTCCTTTTTGCTAGGGAAAATGTAAGTATACTAAGTTTCATTACGAAATCTCTATCTTTTCTCAAGTTACTGGCAGAAACAGACGGACGGACGGACACAACATCCGGACTTGAACTCGCCTCGTCATACTGATTATTTATATAAATATAAATCCATATCTATATATATACGAGGTGTGTTCAAAAAGTATCGCGAATTTTGAATTTTCGCGGGTTAAGTGTTTTCGAATTTCGAATTTTTTGTGGCGTTATGTTGGAACTCATGTCTCTCACTTATGCCGACAAGCTCGGCTATTTTGAATGTTTATTTAATTGTTGACAGCTGCTTTGCTTGGATCGTCTTCGATTTTTACCTATTCAAAAAAATGGATCAAAGAACCTTTATCAAATTTTGTGTGAAAAACGAATTTAAGTGCGCGGATTCATTCCAAATGTTGACTGTGGCATACGGAGAAGCTACCTTGGACCGAAGCAACGTATATCGTTGGTACAAAATGTTCTCAGAAGGCCGAGAAGGTGTGACAAAAATTGGCTTTTGCACCACGATAACGCCCCTGCTCACACATCATTGCTTGTGCGCGACTTTTTGGCCAAAAACAACACACTAATGATGCGGCAGCCACCGTATTCCCCAGATCGCCCCCTGTGACTTTTTCTTGTTCCCTAAATTGAAGAGGCCCATGAAAGGACACGTTACGCTTCTCTTGACGAGATAAAGACTTCATCGAAGGAGGAGCTGAAGAAGATAAAAAAAAATGATTTTTTGAAGTGCTTCGAAGATTGGAAAAACCGTTGACACAAGTGTATAATATCTCATGGGGATTACTTTGAAGAGGAAAAAATAGATATTAATGAATAAATAAATAATTTTTGAAAAAATACAAAATTCGCGATACTTTTTGAACACACCTCCTATAGTTTTAGGTGATGCAAACAATCTTTAGGTGAAAAAAACTATTTTACTCTGTAGTAATGTGTTGATATTTGACATTGGACAATTTAAAATACCCGTTATTTTCTGAACATATCTCGTATGTATATACGAGCCCATATGTAATCGGGCAAGGGTTTGATACCAACGATTTAGTAGCTATATCACATTTCATAAAATTTGTGTTCGCTATGATTTGTTATATTAATAGATGCCAAATTTCGTGAAGATATGTTATCAAAGAGTAAACTGTACATACAAGGATTGGATTTTAAACAACTATTCCGGCAAATGAGTAGCTTTTTGTGAGAAAGAACGTGTGCGTTCGGATAAATCTCTCAATGTTCAGATCAAAACTGAGGGACAGCTCGCGAATATGGGCTAAATTCTACTGGTCACTTATATATGCATATGAATATACTTTATACAGTATCCGATGTTTCCTTCTAGTCATTACTTATAGTCTTATACCCTTGTGTTAATCGCCCCACATTTTCGAACTTCCAGTTGACTTTATTCCGCATAACATACATATGTATATCGGCCAATATGGAAGCAATTTGAGAAAGCTTTTTTTCTAAAAAACTTTTTTTTTTAATTTTAATCTAAAGTCAGTTATCAGCCGTTTTTATCCATTTTAAATTTTTTGTTTTCAATCCCGCTCCTCAGGACTTCCGAAAAAATTATTTAATTATTCGTCAATTTTTATTTTGTCGCTTTCAAAGTAATTTCCATCATGTAATACACTTATGCCAATGATTTTTCCAAATCCTCAAAACACTTTTCATAAGGCCTTTTCAGCTCCTTCGGCGAATTTCGTTTCGTCTGTTCGATCGACTGAGAACGGGTTCCACAGAGCGGCAACTTCAGTTTGGGAAGCAAGAAAAAATTACACGGAGCCAAATCTGATCAATACGGTGATTGATCGATGGTACTCATTGCGTTTTTGGCTTTAAATTCGGTCACAATCATACTCTTTTGGAAAGAAAATTCAGCTTTATCGTGACAAGTCAAGAAATAACGAGTTGCATAGCCGAAATATCCACTAAAATCATTTTCTTCACAGTTTTCAAGCACCATATTCTTCTCTTTTTTAATATTTCCATCAGCTGAAGAGGTCGTAGGTCATCCAGAACGAGGCATGTACTCAACGATCTCACAGCTGTCTTTCTACCTCATAGGCTTGTGTTTTTGATAAAACTGAATCACCGTAACCCTTTTCCAACATTCACAACAATTCCGCACACGAATTTTCGAATATAAAATTTGAGAAAAATTCTTTTTTTCGATACTTTTCTCCATTGCAAAAATCGCAACGCACTACTGATGTGTGCCGTAGTAAGCAGCTGGTGTAGAAAACTGGTTGAGTTTCCTCATCTAGGTTAAAATATGGAAGCATCTAAGTTCAGGTAACAGTTTCCGAAACGCTCTCGATGAGTTAGATATTGTGCACAAAACAGCCAGATGATTTCAAAATTGTTCCGCCGTACTGCCCGTATCAAACAAAATTTGTCATAACTTTTGCCCGCAGAGACAACGTTTGTTCACATTTAATGATTTTAGTGACCGACAATTTATCCCCATAATGACAGCACAGAAATCTGTTGTTCCCTTTTGTTCACATTTGAGCAATGTTGACTTTTTTCATATGCTGAACACAGTATTCGACTCTGATACCGAGTTAGTTCATGAATATATCAAAGACTGGCAACCCTATGATGGAAGAGAACAATCGCGATATCCACGTACATGGTCTATAGAAACGGTGGTGAATATTCATTTACATTGCGCTCTCATAAGATAGATCATATCATCTGATTCGGTCCATGGTTTTTTGTCGGTCACCGAAACATTACCCGTGTCAATACCAACACCTGAACGAAGTGATTTTTAAGGCAGTCTAAATGAAGCTAATTTGCCTACAAATAAAATGAGCACCCATTAGTCTGATGCATTTTATCTTGTGTCTTCACCCAGTTCCATTGCCATATGAAATAATATCGGTATTTAAAATTAGCAGCTATTTGATAAAATGATGCTCTTATAAATTTCGGTACCTATGTATATAAACAGAATATTATCCAATGCTATTCCACTTAACTTTCGATGATACCACGAGAAGTGCCGTGTCGCAGCGGAGAGAAAATAGACTGCCTATCTCGCAACGTTACGATCACGTGCGGGATGGGATACGAAAAAATGCGGCGCCTAACAGAAA